CGACCTCAGTAAGGAGATGTGGAAACATTAGGAATGCTCTAGGTTAAAACGAGCTCCTGATTTTACTTCACGTAGTTACTGCAGCTTCGAGCTATGGAGGCGGCTCGCGATGTACTTGCAGGATGGCACTGTCTACGCGACCGGCCACCCCACAGATCTCAAGTGGGGGAAACGCCTGGCCGGGTTTCTACTCTGGAAAATCAGCCTGGGTCCATGGGGACTAACTGTTTGCCCCACGAGGCAACTTGGCAAGACACAAATATTACAGACAGAGGGTCAACTTTGACACGTTTTGCCAGGAAAAGTTAAATACACCTATAATATCTGAGGGAACTTTTTCCTTGCTTTTAAATACCTAGATGTTCACAGGATAATCACCTCCCAAATTTAACTCAACTTCCTTAAAGGGAAGTTCTGACAAAGGCATGATGAATGAACTTCAAGAGTCCCTTCAATAAAATCAGTCAAGTGCTAGGTCACGAGACCGACCGTTTCCCGCTTACAGCTGTGCCAACAGTGAGGGCTGAGGACACCCGCTGTGTGGCCGCGACTGTACTTTCACACGAAGTTGCAGTGAGGCTCCAGCATCCACCTGCCTAAATCTAAGACAAAGGGAACCCTTGCTGGGGGCATCCATCCCTAGGGAAAGGACTAGAAATACACTTTTGATTTTGTTTCAATTAATTCTTACGCCTTTGTCAACAAGTTTTAAGTTGCCACATAAGCAGACTTTAATTTTGATAGTATTTTTAAATATTCTTTTGAACAAAATTTCAATCACAACTTTGGTTAAAAATCTCGAGGAGCGTCAAATACCATACACGGTAGTACAACAGATGAACCTGTCCTTCAAAAATACAGCGAAGACAGGGCCACCTGGGGGCTCAGTCGGTTAAGCATCCGACTTCAGCTCAGGTCACGATCTCACGGTTCATGAGTTCGAGCCCCACGTCAGGCTCTGTGCTGCCAGCTCGGAGCCTGGAGCCTCCTTCAGATTCTATATCTCCCTCTCTCTCTGACCCTCCTCTGCTCATGCTGTCTCTCTCTCAGAAATAAATTTAAAAGAAACATTAAAAAAATTTTTTTTTAAATACAGCCAAGACTGTTTTTGGAAACGCGCAGGGCAAGGTTTTCCAGCACCTCCCCCCTAACTCGCCAACTCCATCAGCCCACCCGAAGGCCTTCTCATTCTCTGGCATCAGAGCAAATGAAAGCCTCCTCCCTCACAGAGGGCTTGGGGCCTCTTTAGCAACAGGCCTGAGGTGCACCTGCAGCCGGAGCACTAGTGGCCCATGCCGAGAGGCCCCACCCCCGGCACAAAGCAAAGCAGGAGGGAGTGAAAACGCTGGGCGGCAATGCTCGGTGGTCGCGGCAACTCTGGCTTCTTCCAGCAGCTCCTGTCGTCCTGCCCTTCTCCGGCAAGCGCGCTGCGGGGAGTCCGGAGAGCCCCGCATCTGCCTCGCCATCTACCCAGACACAGGCCCACGTGGAGGACACAAGACAAAAGCCAAAGCGTTTCTCCCAAGAGGCGTCCGTCCTCCGGAGATCAAGAAAACCCGCAACGGACACACGTAGTGCCTGCCTGTGCTGCGGCAAGGGCGAAGGCAGAACCGGCCCCGGCAGCCCGGCGGGTGCTCACGGCACGTCAGAGCCCCGCGCCTTTGCCCAGCGGGGCCGATCGAGGAGCAGGGAGCCCGGCGCACGGCTGCGCGGCTGACAGCGGCTGGCGGGCAACGTTAAGAACGGAGCGGCTGCGCCCCGCGCCCCCCCCGCTGCCAGACCAAGGCTGTGAGAACTCAAGCCGGAGGGGCGTGACAAGGGACATGCGAGAGTCCTTTACGCAATGTTACAAATAAAAACAAAACTGAGAACTGAGACCAGAGACCAGAGACTCTGGAAAACTATACAAGGGGGCACTTCGCACGAGCAAGATTCTCCCCCTCATCCAGGTCGCACGTTTTCCTAGGACAATTCTGTCCCCGCTACATACCCCAAGCAAACCGGTGTATCTCCACACATTCGCCAAAGGAACTAGACCACAGTACCATCTCCTTCCATCCGGAAGCTCAAGAGAACTATCACCTTGAAGTAGCCGGACACAGTGCTAAGCAAGGTAGGCTCTCACCAGATCTTACTTTCCTGCACCATTAAGAACATGGAAAAAAACCTTAACTCTTATCAAACTCCACACTAGTCCAAGAAATGAAAGATTCAAAGAAGATGCAGGATAGGTAGCAAAGAAAATCAGAAGAATGAAAAGTTCACCCAAGCCACATGTGTGGTTTTCCCAAAATTTAAAAAATGTTTTCTAATTTAAAACCTAAATTGTCTCTCAAACTCTAACAACATACAAAATACACAACATTCCTTTAAACTTAAAATTTTTGTAACCAAAACCACCCACTAGGAGAAATTCCTCATTTTCTACAGCTAATTAAGATGCAAATGCACCAAAATAACTGATACAGTAATCACAACTCTCGATTCCTTTTTTCCTTGAAGAAAGCTTAGCTTAACATGGTGGTAAAATACATATTCCCAAAATAATCTGTTACAAACACATTTCAGTCTAACCTCTTGGAAAAAAGCACCCTGACGCATACCAGAACAGAAGGTGATCTGGATTCTAGTGATTAGCTTAAGGTTTGTGTCTGTAATTTCCAACAGTTTCTCGCATCATTCAGAAGGTTGTAAACATGACACATGTCAAGCCTAGAACACTTTTCAGAAGCACAAGGCCCTTCCCTTCCCATTCCCTTTCTACCCACTGCTCTTTAAAAATCCTGGGAAACTGCTGCACACGGTCCACACGTAAGGTCACCTCTCAGAGAACAGGCCAGTCCCTTCTCACCACTCATCAGAACAAGTCTGGAGGGGCGCCTGGGTGGCTCAGTCGGTTAAGCGTCCAACTTGGGCTCAGGTCATGATCTCACGGTTCGTGGGTTCGAGCCCCACGTCGGGCTCTGTGCTGACAGCTAGCTAAGAGCCTGAAGTCTGTTCAGATTCTGTGTCTCCCTCTCTCTCTGACCCTCCCCTGCTCATGCTGTCTCTCTGTCTCTCTCTCTCTCTCAGAAATAAAACATTAAAAAAAAAAAAAGTCTGGAAATCCAAGTGGGGGTCATACCATACAGAACTCCTTTTTCAGGGTAACTTCCTAAAGCAAAACAAAACAAACACCAGAGTGACTGTCGAAGTGAGGGTTTTGATGTGTTTTGTTGTTTTAATTATGCTACGTAATCATGAATTTTACCTGTGACTTAAAACGGACACTGAAAGCATGCTAACAAAATGTACCTCTCTAAAATTTTTTTATTAAATTTAAAACTTAAAACGCCCTGTAAAAACTAGTCACAAGTTTCCTCACAAATAAAAAAAATCAATTATTTGTGGGGTGGCTGAGTGACCTCTCCCAGACCATCGTCACACGCTTCGTTATAAAGATAGCCGAGGTGTGAAACTTCAACAGCAGCCTCTGGAAAACGAAGGGTAAAGGGTTTTCAAGACTCAACTTTAATACTTTCCTAAAGAGTCTTACACTCAACGCTGAAGTTGTGAGATTATAACTTGAATGTGCAAACTGAATTCTGAATTTTCTCTAACAATAAATAAAACTCAATAGTTTGATGAAAGTGGTCTCCCAAAAAAGGGGGAGGAAAAGCCAACACGGCCACCAGGAATGCAGAGTCTCAGAGCCAGCTGAGGGGGTGCGGCCAGGACAAAAGGACAAAGCGTTTCTAAAACAGCGCTGCCCCCCCAACCAGGTCTCCGGGGCCTCTAGTAAGGCTTTCACTTATCTGTAAGGGACTTCCTCACTGACCTCAAATACTACGAAAAAGATAGCTTAAAGTTCACAACCACGTGGGCGCCTGGCTGGCTCAGTCGGCTAAACGTCTGACTTCAGCTCAGGTCATGATCCCACGGTTCGTGGGTTCGTGGGTTCAAGCCCCGCGTCGGGCTCTGTGCTGACAGCTCGGAGCCTGGAGCTGCTTCAGAGTCTGTGTCTTCCTCTCTCTGACCCTCCCCACTCATACTCTGTTTTTCTCTGTCTCAGTAATATATAAACATCAAAAAAAAATTTTTTTTAAGTTCACAACCACATGTAAGAACAGTATTTTGATTTAATGCCGGTTGTCATGTAACTCTTCCTCATCGATGTGAGGACTCCTAGGTGTTTTCCAAGAAACCCGCACTACAACTGTCCTTTGGGAGGGAAAGCTCCACGGAAGCCTCTCACTGCCCAGGTTCCACCGGACATGCATCGTATGCTCTTCTCCACGAGCTCGATCGGACTCCTCTCCGTTCTGATAAGGAAGCAAAGGCTGAGGTGGTAAAGCAACAGGCAGAAGACGGAAGCACAGCCGCCGCCACAGCCACTTTGACCTAGAGTTCCCAAATAAAAGAATGTCTAGGTTTCCGGTTCAAAAGCACTCCTCCCAAGGTTAAGAAAAATCATATGGTAAAACGAGCTGAAAAAGAGGTTTCCAGAGAACTGTCATTGAGAACAATGACAAAACCTCCCACAGCACACACACCCCGCCCAGTACCGCCCAAGACACAGGTCCGCGCACCTCCGAAACAACACCTCATTTCTGGCAGGAGGAAAAAAAGCAGAGAAAGGAGTGAGGCTGGGAGGACGTGGGGCCCTTTGTATTCGTGCCCGGCCTGGCCTGATGACCTGCAGAGAATTCTGACGGGCTGACCCAGGCCTGAACGCGGGTCCCCCAGGAGCCCCTAAAAGCAGTCTAAGGCAGGGGACGAGGAATTGACCGCACCCCTTAGGAACGGTTGTCGCAAACGTGCGACACCTACCCACGAGCTGCTGGGACTCTTCACAGCGACGAGAGCCACACTTCGGGAATGCACGCAGCGGCTCCTCCCCGCCCCGCGACCGCGCTCACACCCCGCGGCGGCCAGGCCTCCGGGCGCCGCCGCCAACCACCACCGCCCGCCCGGCCCGCCCCGCCGCCCGCGCCCCCAACCAACACCCCGCGCCCGCTCACCTCCAGCCGCAGGGAGGCCCCGCAGCCTCGCAGGAACTCGCGGATGTTGCTCAGGCACTCGCTCTCGCTCCGGGGCTCCGGGTAAACCTGCAACACAGAGCACAGGCGCTGAGCGGCGGCGGGGATGCCGCGGACGCGACCCAAGGCGGCCCGGCGACTGGCCCCGGGCGAGAGGACGCGGACAGGCGGCCCCGGCCGCCCCTGACGCCCGCGCGCTGGGCCGCTGCCGCTCCTCACCCTTTTCCCTTCCTCTGGGCTGCACCAATCTCACGGCCCTGCCCTCTCCAGGAAGTGGGCCGCCACCGGAAGTGACATCTTCAGACCGCGCCCCGGCCGGCCAGCGCCCCGCCCTTTCCGGCCACGCCCTCATGCTTGCAGTCGGCTGCGCACCTGTCCCCACGCGCGGCCGCCTCTCCCCGGCACATGGTCCTTGTCCTCCGACGCGGCGCACCCGGCCCCCCCGCGGCCTCTCCCTCCTCCTCTCCGCCCCCCCACCCAGCCCCCACCGCGGCCTCTCCCTCCTCCTCTCCG